ATAGTGGCCTAAGAAACGAAGAATAATGACAGTGAGAGAAAGGGGAGCTAGCGTAAAACCTTAATGCCCAGAACAAACATCCGGGGTCAACAATATACCGTCACAAACAGCTGGATACCTTGCAAAAATAAGCGGCATCGGCGATACCCTTGGATAAGGGCGAAGCAAGCAGACTCGTGCCCAGGACGTGGCAGTACAGACCACATATTCACTCGGCGGCAGGTGCTGAAACAGCGCTACACGTACTACAGGCTGAAAACACCTGTGTTCTTAGAGTACAACAGTGCGTTCGATTCAGTCGATTGGTCCATTCTGTTCGAAAGACTGCGAAAAATTTGTCACATTTGTTACATTTTACGTGCCCGGTTTTCATACACAACGCAGCGGGTCAGGGCCTACGGTGACTTGTCAGATATCTTTCAGAGAACAAGTGGCGTACGTCAGGGTGGTCCGATTTCCAATTGTTTATTCAACTTTGTTGTGGACTCCCTCACGGAGTGGTCCTATATAGGACTCTGTATTGTTGGGTTATCGATCAAGAGCACTTCGCTCGCAGCATCAAATCAAGCAACGATGGTTTGCTTCCCGTTCTGAACCTGAAAAGTGGAATCCTGGCAAGGAAATCTTACATGGCTAAATTTAACTGTTCAATAGGGGTGCCAGATTTTCCAGACAGTGCAAATCGATGTCAACTGAGATAAGAACATAGTCGTAGCTGAAGAACAAGTCTGTTGTCCGAATAGGTCTGGAAGGAAGGGACCATCACAATTGACTGGGGTGAATCCATTATAGTGGCAATATACAAGAAGGGCAATCGCGCCGACTGTGCTAAGCACAGAGATATTATTCTAACGCCAGGGTGACAACATTACTAGCATCAGTTCTCGTTCGTTGCCTCACTGCAGAACGGGTATCCCAAAGTAGGAGAGAGCAAGCAGGTTTCTGCTCAGGACGGGATTGCATAGGCCATCTATCCACTCTGTGACAGGTGCTAGAGCCGTGCCACCCGTATCGCAGACCGAAAATATATGTATTCCCGGACTTGAAAAGTACGTCCGACTCAGTCGATCGATTCATTCTGTTCGAAATAATGGCGCGAAAAGGTGTTCCCAAGACCATTTACGTAACCTATACTCGAGCACCACAGGTAGTGTCAGGGTCTACGATGAATCAATATATATCTTCCTGATAACAAGCAGCGCTCGTCTGGGTTTTCCGAGTTCCCCAGTTTTGTAAAACAAAGCCATGGAAACCTTCATGGTGTGTTCCCTTGCGGATCCTGATAATGCAGGCATTGAAGTGCTGCCTGGTGAAAAGCTACTTGATCATGATTATGCGCATGAAATCGTCATGCTGTTTACCGATGTCTTGGCGGCCTCATCACACTTGAATAATCACTCTAGAGTGATCCAAACATGTGACATGCGCTTCGCACATTCAAAGCCACTTTATGACCCCTAAGCTCGAGATAGTTGACAAATTCACTTACCTAGGCAGCTGCCTCAGCTACAACGGCCGGATAAGTACTAAAGTCCGCTCACGTATTGCAAAAGCCAGAACTGCCTTTTAGAATCTGCGACAGTCTTGGAGACAGAAAGGAGTTCCGCTCCGTCTGAAGGACTGTATTAACAAGGTCACAGTGAGGGTCGTTTTAATCTATGGGAGACAGACCTAGCCCCTTCGATCAGAAGACATGCGGCACCTTAAAGTCATCGCCGTGTGCGAAGCATTGCTGGTATCGTGAGGCACCAGCGGGTCCGTAACGATGATGTGCGTGGGCGAAAAAAGGCAATGATAAACATGCTAGTTCCTTATAACAAGATAATACTCACTTTAATCATGTCCTGGTAACGTAACTTTGGCTTCCTCACATGCCGCCTCCCTATACTCAGCTGACTATATAAGAGTTGCTTCGGTATCCGCGTCGAATCCATACGGCTCACATGACCGAGCCACCTCAGATGTCTCAGCAAAAGTATGCAGTCCACTGCATACATTCCGCTACGGCGCAACACTTCCGCATCTGCAACTCTGTCGCCCCAACCGATGCGTAAAATCCGTCGCAAGCACTGCTGATGGAACCACTCGAGATATCGCACATTTCGCCAGTACATCGTCCACGTTTCACTACCGTATAGAAGAACGGACAGCACCATGGATTTGTACACCATCAGCCTCGTGCCAATGGTAAGCCGATGGTTGTTCCACACTCGGTACTCAAGTTTGCCGAATGCCGTCGCTGCCTTCGACACGCGGATACGAAGCTCACTGTGTATCTACTGATTAGTCGACATCACACTCCCAAGGTATCAGAAGCGGGAGTTGGTTTCCAATAGTTGAGCACCATGCTCACATATATATATATATATATATATATATATATATATATATACTCATCACAATCTGTGTACAGATATGGTGCCATCGAATCCATGGCGGAATAGGAAAACAGAGTTAGAGTAAAATAAGAAAGAAAAGAAACAGATTTTTTTCAATTTTTCTACTCACAGTTTTTAAGTTTTTTTTATCTTTTTTATTGGGGGAAGGGAGGGGAATCACCGCAACAAAGCGAGATACACGCCCGCCACTGAGTTCGGTTTCGAGCCATGACTTCCAAGGTTTCAAACCAAGTGCACTCACCATCCTTGCGTTAGCCGCTTCTGGAATATCTCACTGGACACTTTCAGCCCAAATGTTAAACGCAGCCAACGGAAACGCCGGAACGGTGTTCCAAACGTTGCCAGGTAGCTTGACTCCTCGTCTATCGATATGTGCCAAAACGCTAAGGCGAGGTCGAGTTTCGTGAACATCCTAGCCACGCACAATACCGGGAGCATGTCGTCAAGCGTCGGCAGCGTATAATATTCCCTTCTGAGTGCGGCGTTAAGCGGTTTCGGATCAATACGCACGCGTAGGTCACCAGACTTCTTAGTAAAACAGTGGGTCCCCTTCAGCCATTTCGTCAGAGCAGTGAGAAGACATAAGTTGCGATGTCAACATTTCGATTGTTCTCATCAGTGGCAAGCTGTGTTGCGTGCACAGAAACTATTGAGACAATCAAGTAGGTTACCGTGGTCTTGATTTTGACATTTTGATTGGTGTGCCAATATTTCCCTGTATATAACTGCCTATGTATTCCGCTTGTGTTGTGTTTGAGACTAATGAAATCCAGACTTTTTTAGTGACAATCGCTACGTGGCTGACCCAGTCAGTCGGGTCATTAATTTTAGCTATTATCCCAAGACTGCAAAGACGTTGCAGCTCGTTCAAGAATTTTCCGCACAAAGCAATAGCTACCTTCCTAGCCGGTAACCCTACTGGTTTGGTGAACTCGTTTAATGAAAAGTGAGCGCGTCCCTCGAACATCCCTACCACTCCACACGCTCGGGTACCTATCAAAAATATCTGCGTGACTCACAAATGAACAAAACGCTTGTGGCTAAAAGAAACAAAATCAATTCTCCAGATGGAATCAATGCCCAGAATGAGCATAAGGTCCTCTGACACTATCATGAACTATAGCTGGTCTTCTGTTCCAGTTTTCGAAGTGATCGTCTCCAATATGAAACATCCCTATGGTTGTATCTTCGAACCCTTCCACATCCTGAGACAAGTCTGAGTTTTGTCACACGGCAATTCCTTGCAGTACTTTTCTGGAAGTATGTTGGAATTGGACCCTGAGTCCAGTTGAAAAGGTACAGGTCGTCCTCGAACCAAAAGTGTTGCAAAAACATATTTGTATTTTGCGCAGTTATCCATGATGTTCATTGAGAGTTCCTGCTCCTGTTCCTTGGAGTCATTAGACACTGAGCTCACCTTGTAGAATCTGCAGTAACGAGCGAAATGATTTCTCCTGGAGCACTTCATGCCAGTTCGACCCCACGCTGGGCAATTCTATTTACACTTTGAGTGCCTGCGGCCGCAAAACTGACAATTTAGTTCCTGCTCATTAAGTGCCTGGTGCATACGTTCACTGGTTCGGGATACGTCGCACAAATCCGTGTTTGTCTCGGCCCGCAATCGTTCGGATGTCGGCCAGTGGCCGAATGGTATGCGCGTTTGGTTTGCAACCATAAGGTCACTGGTTCGAATCCGCGGGGGGGTGGGCGTCCTCGCGATATACTCAGCCCACGCGCCACTGGTGGTGGTCGCGTGACAGCGAAGCGCTGTTATGGCGTACAGTTGGCGATTTATTTATAATTTATTATTAATCGTTCGGATTGTTGGTCTGTCCTGGCTTCGCTGAGCAAGATGTCCATGCGTTGTCCCAAGGATAAGTGTTTCTGTCTCAGAAAGCGGCGCGTGAGTTTTTCATTCTTTATACCGAGAACGATGTGGTCACATATCAGACTCCTTCACGCAATCACAGAAATTACAGGTGCGTGCCAAGAGCTTCAGTTCTGTGATGTACCTCTCGAAAGATTCACCCGGTAAACGGTTGAGGCCAAAAGAACAGATACCCCTGGTATGTCACATTCGCGAGACCTTCGCAGAATTCACCAAATCTTCTCAACACCTCGAACAGATCGGCCTCCTGACCAACATCGCCAAGCGCCAGTGTTTCCAGTACCCTTCTGGCATCATCACTAACAGCGTGCCTAAAAAAAAATTACGAGCTTGTAGGTTATCGGCTGGGCGTGTAACTGGGTCAGTGTTGCGAAATCCACCCATTTGGTCTTCTAAATTCTCCAGTTGTCTGCTAGTGAACTCTCTGTCATTTGCAAGGGGGTGGGAAACGGAATCACCGGCTGCCTTCCAACTGGAAACTGCGTCTTAGACAACGGTTTCTTCCTCTCTTCTGTCACCATGTTGTGAACCTAGGTCTGCCAGCCGCGTCAAGAGAAAGAAAACACACCGACTCAGCACAAAAGCGTTCTATGTACATTTCTGAGGTTTTGTACAACTAGCTGTGTTTGTTAAAACACACCCGCCTATGCGACCGATCGCCTGATCAACCGCACTAAAGCAGCGATTCCCTTCGTCCCAGCTTTTAGCCAACATCACACACCGAAGAGTACCTTGTAAAGCGATGGGTATCTTATGACGATAGCCAATAAAGGAAGCGCAATAAAATAGAGTACTTGAGTTACATCAGATTGAACACAGACGGAATTGATGAGCGAAGAGAGTATGAGGAGCAAAACTTCACAAAACCAATAACTTACATTCAAGTGATCCCATACGGTTGATGCGAGAAATCTAGGAGTGACTAGCGGTGTCTTTGGGACTGAGGTGTGCTGAGCGACCCAAGGGTGTTGCATGACTTCGGCACTGGATAACCGCTTGGATGGCTCCGTCATCAAAAGGCGTCGTATTAGATCTTTGGCTAATGAAGAGAGAAAAAATACAGAGTTTGCAAAAATTGTCAAACAGCAGGAGAATATTAGTAATTGTTAAAATAAGACCATAACAGATTACGGTATGAAATCAAGTGCAATTCGGTACCGTTCAGCCTACTAACTGTACCGACGTGCGGATGTCTTGGTAGAGGTAGACAGTGATTAATCATCAGAGTAGCATTACTTTTTGTTGAACACTGCCTCTTGAATACGTCAGGTTCTAACAATGTAATACCAACTCTCCTAGTCGGATGAACGAACGTAGACTCAGAATTATTTCTCGTACAGCACGGTAACCGACAAATCTCGAAGTCTGTGGGTTCTCGGAACTTAGCCGCGAAAGATTAATTCACCCGAGTCGAACGGGTTCCTAGACCGAACGCAAAGTTTCTACGCACGATTCCCCAACCCAAGACTGAATCAAGAACAAGACAGGCCTTTTGCCACAGGCGCTTTTATTGGCCAAAGCTAAGGCGATTCTAGCGTTGTACAGCCTCATTTTTATATCACGAAAGGGTGATGAAGGGGAGTTTTCCCTTGGAAGGGTTTGCGTAAGCAAACCCCGGAAACAAGAAACATGGTTTTAGGTAAATATGCAAAAGTCCATAACTGAGCAGGAATGTTGGAAGTTTGGCGAGAGTTGTCCGGAAAATAAATGTTGCTTGGATACAACATGAGTGTTTGGTTGGAAACGAGATTGTTTTCTGGGTGCAAAGGCTAAACAAATGGGAATGTTTCACGAGTTGGAAGGCTGATTGAACGTGTGCGTTTTGTCTGATCCGAGTACATGTGCACTTGTGTGAATCGGGTTTTTAGCCTTCTGTAATTTAAGCCTATAATAATTATGACATTGGGTCCCCATAACACTGTTATTGCAGTTTTCGGGATAACATCAGCATGACGTACAGATGCCAAACTACAATGCAACCGCAAGTGGTTGCGTGTGGACTGAAGTGCTGCAGGGGCGAAGACAGGAAAACTAGTCGCAAAAATTTCGTGCTAAACACTATGGAATAATAACAATATTAATAAATTCAATGAGGATGGACAAGAACAAAAACATTCATGAATAAGACAAAAGCGCAACATCACAATTGGCATCATGGCCGCACCACATCCGACAGGCTATCTAATCATCAGGAGGCAAAGTGCATTTGCCAAACGCAGTTTCAACCATACTACTGATCAGCGCCAACCAATGTCGAGCAAACAGGTGCAGTATTAGCGGGAAACACACGCCGACGCAGCCGGTATGTGGGCATATGAATTAACCAACGAAGGTGTTTTGGGGTCCAACGAGATACCAGAGGGCTTGTCGCCAAACATCAAATGATAAACTACCAGTCACTCGGCGCTACTAACAAATGTGTGCAATACTTCGCAGCAATTGGTGGTTAAACACGAGTTACTAGTGAAACTGTGGGAGCCGGAAACTGTCCCGACAGACCGGAGCCACTCCGTTATAGTCCGATTTTCAAGGGAGGCTCACGATCGGAATGCGGCCACCATAGAGGAATCAATCGGGTCTCCATCCCCTCCAAATTGCTTAACTCTATCATCCTCCACAAGCTGACTAGCACCCGTGAAAGCCAGATCCGTGAAGAGCAACCCGGGTATCGAGGAGGTCGATGCATCGACCACAGTTGCACTTTGCGTCAATTGTTGGAACACCATCACGGCTCACTGTTGTCGTGTTCCTCGAGAATGAATTGTGCATTTGATTCGGTTGCCCGATATGCCATTTGGAACTGTCTACTCAGGAAAGGTGTGTCTGGGAAATATGTAAATATTATCCTAGCGTTATACACGCGTAGCTCGGGCAGAGTGAGGGCTTACGGCAAGCTGTCGCGCCCTTCATTATCTCCAGTGGTGCGAGACAAGAATACCCGCTGTCACCTTCGCTACTGACGAAGTCATGGAGATCGTGTTCACATGACACGAATTGAGTGTGGAGCGGCTCCCAGGAGAATGACTTCTTGACCTGGAATATACTGACGATATTGCGCTTATTTGTGATAGCCACCAAATGTACCAAGCGGCACTGGACAGATTAGCACTGGCTGTCAGCCGTTCCGGGCTATGCTTTGCATTCTCGGATTGCAAAGCTTTGCTCCAAGATTGGCAGGGACCACCTTCTGCACTGACCCTTGGCCGGGATCGGCTGGAAGTCGTTCAAAAATTCAACCATCAGGGGAGTTGTATCAGCGCCCTTGGGATCGAAGATGAGATGACGAACCGTATAGCAAAAGACCGAGGCGCTTTGCTAACCTTCGCCATCTATGATGCGGGCGCGACATCACTCTCGTTCTGAAAGGAAGAGTGAACAATGCAGTGGTACCATCGACCCTAGTGCACGGTAGTGAAACCTGGCCGATTAGATCAGTGGACATAAAGAAACTAGTTACGTTCGACCACCAGTGACTTCGCAGTTTGACTCACATCTGGTGGGAACATCGAGTAATCGACGAGCCTGTTCGACGCCTTGTTTACGGTACAGGAGAAGGAAATGAACCGCTCAGCACAGTTATTTCACGCACCAGCCTCTGATGGCTCGGCCACGTGTTACGCATAACAGCATACGGACTCCCGCGACGTGCGTTGTTTGCGCGCCGGGGGTGCGGATGGAAGAAAAATAGGGTTGCTCAAAAGATGACTTGATCGAAAGCAATGAAAGCCCTTACTTCGACGCTAGCCTCGATTGGAGCCTCTCGGCTCCCAGGTTGGGGTCCGAAAGACGATGAACATGTTTGGCTGGATACACTTGCTGATATGACTAGGAGCCGACCTCAGTGGCGTTCGTGTTGTGAGTCTCTTTGTCCCTCCCCACCAACCGCGATCTCATTTCTTGGCAGAATATAAAATCTGCATAATAAATCTCTTTTGCTGCATACTGGCTGGCTGGTTGATTTTTGGAACGATACCAATCCGTTACTAGTAGCTCAGCTAGCGTGCATCTGTTGTATTTTTTCTTTTTTTATGTATTGCGGCACAGCAGCTGAGGTTTTTCCACCTCTGTATATAATGATGTATAATGAGGTATAATGATGATGATGATGATGGTGGTGGTCAAACACGAGGAGGCCCTTAATATACTGGAAGTAGAACGGTCAGACCTCAACCTCACAGTGACAATGATTGTGCGTCCCACCATTGATCAATAGACCTATATCCTATTGTTGGCCAGGCCATGCCCTCCGCATACCCATTAACCGATGCATCTGGGTGTGCATTGTGCACTGTCGAAACACCTAGTTGGATGAAACCGCGAGATGGCCAGTCAATGAAGTGGCATGAATGTATGGAGAGAGCGACCGTAAGACTTGATCAGGCTGGGGGCATTGGCATAGTTCACACCAGTGCTTGGAGACGCTATCAGATATCGCGCAGTCACTGGTGTCCCTGCGTTCGGTTCCTTAACTCATACCTATCTCGATTAACGCTACTCGCTTCTTTCTTAGCTACCATTCCGCAGTGTTTCGCACTTTACTTCAGTTCTTCATCACCGCGCCCAGTACTCGGTGACGAAATTTACCTGAGTTGGCGCAACAATTTGGACAATTGCAGCGATCGCACACCTTTAGCGGTGGACCAGTGGTGGTGTATCACACTTTTCAGGCGCAAGACATACGATAAGGCGCGCAACGCTACGATTCTGTCTATTCAGTACAGAGGGATCTGACCAAAGGAGGAAGATACCGTCCGGGTACTCTAAATTTGACAACCGGTTGCCCAGCACTGCTCACTGCTTCAATAGTTAAATAAACTAGGGGAGAATCGTTTGGGAACAATGTTGATCACGCGATTAACCATTAAAGGAGGTGGGTAACAATGATGTACTCCACCTACTGCATCAAAATTAAGGGACATTCTCGCAGACATTCACATGACTCCCGGTGTTGTAGAGATTTGTTATTCGGAAGACATTTCCGAATACATCCTCAGGGTACACAGAACCAAGAAGACGCACCAATAATCAAATCAAAAGCAGCCTTGAAGTTAAGGAAGACTACCGGCATAGGCTGTTTGTAAGTGCGCGAAGTCTAAGCATCTGGTGAGGAGTGGGAATGTGGTCGATGAGCCCTATCGTGACGTAACCCAGTGTGAGATTTACAGAGTCGTCTCCCACGAGAATCAGTGAGTCGCCGCAGCTCGATACAAGTGAGAAGCTTGGATGTTATTTAGAGCGCACCGATACTAAGGTGAATTGCACATCGAACCCTTTTTAAAGATGGGAAAGACGGTTGACAGCCGCCAGTCAGAGAGTATTTCATACGCTAAATGCTGCGGAATATAGCAGCAATGACAAACACTGGTGAGTGCCCTTCATCAGTTATTCGATTCGTCAGGGTCAGGCGCTTCTTATAGCACCAGAAGCATTAGCTCGTTTAAGATCTCGTCGATGGTGGTCGTTACATCAACCTTTCAAGTTGACGTGACTTAATAAGCACTTCTGATACACCGAGTCGGCGGAGCAACACTTGAGAATGATTGACCAGAGCTTTAGTCGAAGTGGCCAACAGTGAAACAGGTATCTGGTCTATTCGGTTACAGAATCAATCACACGAACTTTACTGGAATCAGTGCGTCGAAAGTAATCAGGTGACGTTGGGCAACTCCATTGTATCTATCTTTTCCATCCTACCAACGCTCCCGGTTGATCTCCAGACTCCAACTGAAATGACATTTCACAGTGCTGCCGGCTCTCTTAAAAAAATTGACTCCTTAACATAACCATTTTTCGTGTTATGGTTAGGCTAGTCAGGGTTTAAAATATCTGGTAAATAGATAGAAACCCCAAGTTGGAATAGTAAGCAGACAATAGTGATCTATGCAAGGTGCAATGGAAGCGATTCCAGTCCACTTCGGTTTGTCCACCACATCTGTCAATTACATCTGATGTCGTAATTCATAATGCCATTTTTGCTTTGTAGATTGTGAGCAACTGATGAACAACCGCATTAGAATTAGAGTGAGTCCGGTGTAGGAAGAGTGAGTGTTAGGTGGCCACGCACGTAGGCATCGTTAGAACAGAGGCAGGCCATCTAGATCGACAAACAATCATGGACTAAGTTTTGCCATCGACAGCTGATAGTGATGTGATCAACCTTAATTTAGAGTACCCTTGTGGTTCGGTATTCTCCATGTAGTCCTATGCGAATAATTGTGTTAGAAACCTGTGCTACTGAGATGCGGAATGGATCGGTGTTTATTTGGAGAAAATGTCCAATGTAAGTGTCCACTCCGAAACGGTCTCAGATGCGATGTTCTGACTCTGGTGAGCGACCAGCTTAAGCATTCATGTTGTCCACAACGAGTACGGTATCCGCGCTTTTGATTAATCGGATTACGAAGAGATCTGGCGATAGAAACTGCCTGCGGCAGCTTGCGGACTAGACAGTGAGGTCCTATACAAAAAGAAAGGAGGCACCTAGCATTCATCTGCTCTTTGTTAACTCCAATGGAGCTTCAAAAGCGAATGGCACACAATCAGCTATCCGTTTGGTTCAAGTCTAGAACATTAGCTTCCGCGCGTGAGCTGAAAACGAGTCCGACAAAACAAATGTCGCGAGCTCCGATTAAAAACCATTGGATACGTGAAATGTGTGGCATCTCATTGATAACACGGTTTGTTAAGTGCAGATGCTTTAATATGGTATTGCTATGCATGCGTATTTTTGCGACACGGCAAACATCGACCCCGCTAGGCGTAAAACATAGCAAGTGTCATCTGTCCATCGATCTGACAGTGTGGTAAGGTTAATGGAACCTACATGGAAGCATAACTAAAGCTTGAGAGAGTGTGGTCTCAAGTTGGTAGACATGAGAAGAGTACTCCAGGAAAAAGGGGATGGAGTAAGAATACGAGTGGCTGTATCTTGTGGCAGAGAACAATCCCCGACTGCGCAATTCGACAGAAATTTCGCTCCAGATGCACCACACACATCCAGCCTCTGACTCAACAGTCTGGCACAGTGCAGTGGAGAATACGTGTGGCCAAGGAATCTGATTGTAAAGTCCCAATGGGAAATGTCTGAAGTCAGTCACACAGCCTTAGAAGTTGGAACAGTATGCGCGTGCTTTTCGGCAGTCGTAGACTACGCCTGTGGCCACGGTCAAATGCGAGTGGGCTTTTGAGAGCTTGGACCTCTTTGACCAGAGGTGAACTTGTGATAGGCGGCTGCAAACGAGTGAGCAAGGATAAGATATCTATAGTTGTGGGCTCCAATGAACTCAGTTGAACTTAGAACACGTTCTGCCGGAATGACGAATAAGATGTAAGAACTGGCACGCAGCCACAAAGATCAGATGGACAGTGCGATGTAGGCCTTCAGAGCACAACATGATCGACAGATATATGGTATAAATCAAACTGTTCATGACGATGCGTGTCCATTCGAAGGCTCGAAGACGCAGACCAACGGTCGCATGCAAGTGCACTAGCCCCGGTAAAGACAAACTAATTTGTGTATCTGACAATGCTTGTAGCACTTGCTATCTAAAAACTCTCAAACTGCTCTCAAACTGATGCGCGCTTACATGTAGAGCATGACTTTCAGATAGCTCAAACTCCTTTAAGGGATTCGAAGCGACAGTGCTTCTGGTCCAGGGTGGTGATGGTAAGCCGCATAGAACTCAGCAGTACTAGAGGAGAAAAGGACAGTGCAGAGGACAAAAGCAGACAGCGGTATTCAGTGGAGGAGTAACGATGCGAGGGTTCCGTGCTGTGATAATAAGTAGCGAAAGGTTCAACAAGAGCGACAGCAAACGATTTCAAACGGATCGCGAGGCCTCACATCTTACCGTGAGGAACGTACCTCCGGATGAGACGTTGGCCCAGTGTGATTCGGGGAAATCGTAATTGCCGTAAATGATATTCTCCTGCATTCTTGGAGAGATAGGAGCACCATTTCGACTGTAGAATGGGGGAAAACCGCACAGGCTACAAAAAAGGAATGATATGTCAAACGTGCAAAGCTTACAGTATGTATGTTATTATTCCGAGGGACCACAAGTCGCAGGATTGATCGTAACTCATTTTTGTGAGAATTTCAGGTGCTGTTGCATTAAAGCGTACCGTAAAAAGTGATATAACACAAACCGACGTAGTAAGGAGTGTAGCAGGGAGTTTTTAAAGAATTCGCAGCTATCACCTCACAAGCGAAGCCAAAGTCGGTGAGTTTGAGTAGAGCGTCTGGTGCTTCGGAGGTAAATAGCAAGTTTTCTGGCTAAAAACACATAGGGTCGGAAAAGCGTAAGATCGAACTAACCTTTAAGTCACGATGAGCGATGGACTTGTTGTGTAAATACGCAACAGCCGACGCGATCTGGTGCACAATCTTCGCGGCTTCTAAATATCCTCTGAATGATACGAGAGTACGCAGTTACCGGCTTCGGTGAATGAACTACGGGATTTAATCCGATCAAAAAGTTCACCACCTTCCATGCATTCCATCACTAGTAGAAGGTACTTTTTCCGAGTGTGCTGGTTGAAGTTCTCATAGACATCAACAATTCGCACCACATTGGGGCAATCTGATGCGCGCCAATGTAATTCTGCCTCGCGTCTGGATTTCGGGCAGTCCACGAGAATCTGAGAACACATGAGAAAAGGATTGGACAAGCAAGGTGGAGAGCTCGAAATCAGCTAAAAAGTTAAAGGAGTCATTGGCATGAATTCCAAGCACATTTTATTACAGCCTGTGTCTGGCACAAAGGTGGTAGTAAAATTGAAGACAGAAAAGAGGAACAAGCGAACCAAAATCGCCAGAATGGTGTGAATGCCGAACTGGTCAAATGGAGTTAGGAGGTGAAAGATAACTAAGAATGACGGTTGAAAAACGAAATGGATGAAGGACCAGTGAGGTAAGGACAGAAAGAAAGGTGTAGCCGAAACCAGATTAAAGTAGGAAGGAATCCTCCAAAACATGTGAAGTGGGGAATAAAAAAGAGCAAAATCTAGAGAGAAAGATGAGACGCAGATAGACTTTAGCCAACCCACAAAGATTAGGCAGGCCTGCCCCAACAGATAACTTATACTATGCATTATGGAAATTGTGAGAAGAGGAATCTTCCCCAACTGTATGTAGCTGATCCGCTATTGTCCTAATGTCGAACGGAGCTCACGTTCGGAGTTCGGAAATCATAGTGATGTCAATCAGACGCATATCACCTCTACGCTGCTTGCCTCTGGCGCCCGTGAACACAGATGCGGGATAAACAAGCCGCGTTTGGTCGTAGTCGGGGCTGTGTTAATCGCATCTTCCCATTACGCCGGATGATGGAGCACCGCCATGTTAACTGATGACCCACCGTGGTCGTGCTCATCCGTATCAAAAGCACCTAGGAATCGGTTAACCGATGTGCTTTTTGGGACTGTTTGAGTAGGAAAGGTGTGCTCGAGAACGCTTTGCACGCGTAGCCCGGACATGGTGAGGGCTTATGGCAAAAGGTCACCGTCCTACAGTATCGGCAGTCGTAGGAGACAAGGATGCCTGCTGTGAGCTTTTTAACCCCACTAAGGACAAAGCTATGAGAAATGCGCTCGCTGAATGGGAGATTTGGAGCTGCTACCAAGCAATCGACTTCCCGAGTTGGAACATGCCGACGATACTTCCCTAATCATTACATCTCATCATTATCATCGTCATAAATACTCCTTAGACGGCGAGAAAAATACCTCAGTTAAAATACCGCAAGATAAAAAGACTGTGCGCATCAACAACGCTTTGGATAGTTGAACACCACGTAGAACACCGATCGGCGACCTCCGAGATGAATTCAACGGCTGACAAGGAACCTAAACTGATCCACGACCATCGGACAATCGAGAAGCCACAGTCGGTGTGGGACTAAAGTGCCATTTTGACAAAAATAAAATAGCATAGTCACAACATATTTTAACAATATCCTCAACGAAATTGATACATACAGTTACCTGTTAAAACAATAACGTAACGGTCCGGCTGTACAGAGGCGCTGACGTCTGCGTACTTAGCAAGATATGGTCACACCAAGGAACTATTCAGAAAATAAATAGTCAGGTATCCAATCATAACGGGGTAAAGACACCCTTTTGGGGGACACGTAACATAAACATGAGAGTGGGAGCGCATGTTCAGCCGTAGCGTGAGCCGCATGGACAGTTTGTCCATTACACAAAAACCTCGGCATGGCTCGTTTTGACTCAAAGGACAAAGATGCCGGCTAGGTGACACATGGTGAATAAGACGTAAGCAAATATGCCATTTAGGGAGTTGGTTTGTCAATAGTGGTTCATTGGTAAAGGAGGGAACATGTCATAAAATCGATACGGGAATTGGACACCAAACGAGAGACTGCAGAGTGCGTTAATGAATAATTACAGGGAAGCGATCAACAGGCTGTGAAACAAGTGGGAGTTGAGAGGCCGTGATGGAGTGGCTCTAAGTGTAAGTTTGGTCAGGAAATAACAGGCAAATAGGGACAAGAACAGGAACATGCTTGTACAGGTCACACGATCAAGCAGTAAGTGGGAATACAAGAAAGGGGACTTGGAGAAGTGGGGCAATAATTTTGAGTGAGGTGAAGAGAAATGGCGATTAAACAAATGTACGCTGCGACACCAACACACTGGACGTTATAGACTAAAGAATAATATAATGCTAAGTAACATAAAGTGCAACAGGTATGACGTCGTGGTAGCAAAGGGAAGTTAAAGAGGGGAGGGATGGACAGAAAAACTTACAAAACAGACGCTATTGAGATCGACTCTTCGACACGTCAGCTAGTCTATCCAAACAAACGTGTCCATCATCCTTCGGACCCCAGCCATGCAGCCGGGAGGCACAAACCGACACCAACCTCGAAGTGAGGGTTTTCATTCCTCTCGAAGAAGTCTTCACTTGATCTCTCCTTCTCTTCTCCCATCCACACTCCTGACGCGCAAACAACACACGACACCAGAATCGGTGTAGTGGCATGCGCAACATGTGGCCCAGGCATTGGAGATTGGTGCGTGATATAATGGTGTTGAGCGGTTCACTCGCTCTACCTACATCAAATATATGACAACGAACACCCTCATTACTCATGCCACCAGATGTTAGCCAGACTGCGGAGGCAGCGATGGTCGAACGTGGCTAGCCGCCTAAGGTTTGTCGACCTGATGGGCCAGGTTTCACAACCGTAGAGTAGGGCTGAACAGACGGCTGCATTGTAAACTCTACTCTACTGTGCGAAAGTGAAGTCGCACCTGCGACACATGGGCGGAGATTAAATGAAGAAATAGTTTATTCTCGAGTTCAAAGAGGCACACCGTATCAAGCGTGATCAAGATTTTACAGGCGATTATGTTTCGCAACAGGCACGTTCCTTTGCATGAAACGGGATGATGGCTAAAAGATATAGAAGTTGCAAATTGTGAAATGTAGTGGTGAGGAATAAAATCGTTAGTGATGTGACGATAGTCTGAGTTCACGTGCGGGTGTGTAGTATAGAGTTCAACAGTAAAAGTGTAATAAGTGAAATGATGAAGAAAAGTGCAGACAGGGTAATGTACGTATCAAAAAAGTGAAATGTGGCTCTGGTCAACTTGCCAGTGTGAAGTCGGTAAAAGCATCTCGAGCTTTTGCTATACGGTCGGATTTCTCTTCTTCGATTCCACAGGTGTAAATATAGTTGTCTAAGTACTTAAATTTTGGAATCACTTCTAGCTGATCATCTCCAAGGGTTAGCGCACGAGTGAGTCTCTGTCAATCTTGAAGAAGGATCTTGCATTTCGAGAGTGCAAAGTATAGCCCAAAACGATTAACAGCAGTGCTAACCTGCCCAGTGCTGCTTGGCACACTTGGGAGCTGTCACAGATTAAGGCAATGTTGTACACATACTCCAATTCAAGAAGCTGACCACCAGGAAGCAGCTCTACACTTCGTAGGCCGTGTTTATTAAACGCAATTTCCATGATTTTGTCGATGGCAAAGTCAGAAAAATAAGTTGACTGCAGGAGATATTGAAAGGCGGCAACAGCTTGCCATAAATCCTCACTCTGGTTGGGTAAGTGGGGTCACGGCCGAACGTACACAGTGGCTGGTCAACCGTTGCATCCCGCTCCTTTCGTGCGCGACCTCGGTGTACTCTCACGCTACGACCTAAAGTCCATTGACAACACGAATAGGCTGTACCAAAACAGCCCTCGTATGCTTTGGGCTCTCAGGCGCAGCTTTAGCACTTGGTCCGAAGAGATTGCTTCTCGCCTCTTCGTCTCGATAATACGACCAATGCTGGAGTACGGCACTCCCGCATATTGTCCCATCACCCGGGGCGAAGTAGAAAAGCTTGAGCGGGTGCAGCATGTAGCCACCAGGCTGATTCCCAACTTAAGAGGTATGCCATACGAAGACCGATGTAAGAAACTAGGGTTATACACCCTATCTTATCGTCGGCTGAGAGTTGACCTCATCATGACGCACCGGATATTACATCTGGGTGATTACCCCATGTTGAGACAACTACTGCATCTGCGCACACCAAGCTGCACGCGAGGACATCGGTATAAACTTATCGTCCCGGATTTGAAGCGGGTCGCCCATCAACTCTGTTTCGAACGCAGAGTGGTGAATGTCTGGAACGACCTGCCTCAGCATATAGTAGAAGCGAACACCGTGTCTAAATTCAAGATGCTACTAGACCAACAATTTGCAGAGGCAAAGTACAGAGAGCGAAACGATAAATAAAGAGTTCATGTCCGAAAACGACGAATGATGCAGCTACACAGAGCAACCTCTACTCGCTGCTTCGCACCAGTTCTCAGTTCTGCCCGAACTACGTGCGTACAGCGCTCTGATAACATGTACAAGTTTTCAGGCACACATCTCCTGAGCAAACAGCCCGAATGGCATATCAATCAACCGAATCGAATGCATCTTTGGTGCCAAGGATCACAATTGCGATAGGTCGCCAATAAATATGGTGATGCTCCAACAATTGATGCAATGTAAAGATTTGATTGATGCTGCCTCGATTTCGACGAAACCCGGTCTGCTTCTCAGGAACTTGACCACGTGCGCCAGCAGGTCTATGAAGGCGACCGAGGGAAGTAACGTAGAAGCAATCGAAACCGGACCGATTCCTCTATGAGTGCAGAATTCCGAACGTGTGCCTCTGTTGAACATTGGGACTATAACGGAGCGGATCCGGTCTGTTGGGAAACCCTCCTGCACCCACAACTTCACCAGTAAATTGTGCAAATCGTCCACGAAAACATCCAGTGAATTTGAAGAGGGATGGGGGAAGTCTAACTGCATCCGAGGCCTTATTCAATTCCAACAGTCAGATCTCACGTTCGACTTCTGCCAGTGAAGTCAGATCCAAGGAGACAGCCAAGGGACGTCAAGCAATACCTGAAAAAGGTGAAAACTCAGGTTAATTAAACTGCTTTGCAAGGTATTCAGCCCGAAGCTAAAAGCGTCTGGACAAGCCGTTGGTCGGCTGTCCACTCTCCTGCTACTAGTTCCCTTATCAAACGGAATAACCAACGGTAGGCGCTGTTTCCATCTCCAACGTATGACGAGGCCACCGGTATTCGCTGTCTCTCTTCAGGTCAGCACGCAGTTT